CACCCTCCTCCTGGTGTCTGTGTACCGACTCAGAGCCAAAGGTAACGATCACCCAGCTGCCGACCAATCAATCAATCAATCAATCAATCAATCAATCAATCAATCAATCAATCAATCAATCAATCAACCAAGAAATCAATTAACCAATCTCTCAATCAACCAACTAATCAATCAATCAACTAATCAATCAATCAACCAACTAATCAATCAATCAACTAATCAACCAATAAAACAACAAATCAATCAATCAACCAATAAATAAACCAATCAACTAATCAACCAATCAACCAATAAATCAGTCAGTCGATCAACCAATCAGACAACCAATCAACCAATCAATCAATAAATCAGAATGAGAAATACTTTAATAATACAAGAGGGATACTATTATGCAATCAATCAATAAATCAATCAATAAGTCAATCTGTCAATCGATTAATCAATCAATAAATCAGTGACTCGATCTATAGGTATTTCAATCGACTAGTAACCAATCAACCAATCAATCAATCAATGAAAAATCAATGAAAAAATCAATAAAAAACAAACAATCCAAACAATCAACCACTCAATCAACCAATCAATCAATCAATCAATCTGTCAATAAATCAATCAATCAATCAGTCAGTCAGTCAGTTGATTAATCAATCAATATATAAATGAATTATTCAATCAGTCATTTTATCAATCAATCAATCAATCAATCAACCAACAGTTCAATCAGTCAGTGTTTTTCAGGCCTCTCTGACTGAACTCTCAATCTTTTATTGATCTCTTCATTTTCTTTCTCACCTGCTCCGATTACAGGAAGTAAACAGCCCGTCTCCGTGGCGACGGCCCCGCCCCTCCAGGCTGAGCCGGGATTGGACGATGACTACGATGACATCACCACAGAGCATCAGTTCTGAGGCTGAAATGTGTCTGTGTGCAGCCGGTCAGAAGGCGTCTGCCCCCTGGTGGTGGAGACAGGAAACCACAGGTTTTCATGCAGGACTTTCTTCCTGTTTCTGGAGACTTAAAGGACCTAAAAATGGCCTCATTGACCAGAATAAAAAGGGCTGTAACCTGTGTGAGTGTCTGAGTTTGATTTAAAGCGACGGCCTGAGGGTCAGACTGTGTTCGGACCTTTGCTGATTCGGCCAGTCCTCATCACAAAGCTGCTCTCCACCCTCTCTGAGGCTGAGCCCTCCACTCTCCAAAGGAAACCATCTGAATCGACATTTATTACAGTTAGTTCCAGTTCAGAATGAATTAGAGGCCATAAAACTCTTTAACACACAAACTTTACCAGGACAACAGGAACTGACGTGGCCGATGAGGACGTTCTGCACTGTGGGGACGTCTGAATGTAACCAGTGTTTTTCCATTGCGCTCTGTAGGGCAGTTCCTGTTTTACTGCTGGTTATCACACTGCATACGAATGAGGGGGCAGGTCCCTTATTAGAGCCTCAGTATTAGTATTATTATTTTGTTTCAAATTCAAACCGTCCTCGGATACTAGATGACCTTTAATAACTGAGAGAGCTTTTTAAAACTACATTGTAAAATAAGAGAGTTCTGTGATGGACTTTGTTCACATTTCCTTATTATTTCATTGCTTTCATCTTTAAATAACTTAGCATGTCACTCGACCTGTGGCAAGCAGAAAAACCACACAGATTCACACAGGAAGGGGGCGGGCTGCATCTGGGGCAAAAACCTCAGAGTGGTTAACAGACAGACAGACGCAAAGATGGAGGCATGTGCTCAGTACCTGCTCCGTAAGTAGAGACGCTCTTTTCTGTTTTCTCTGTTTTCCCTGTTTTCTCTGTTTTCTCTGTTTCTGCTCTGTGGACGACTTCTGATGGGGGGACACACTGAAACAGGTCAGGCTGAAGTCAGGTGGAAAATGCAGCATGATGAGCTGCTTCAGGAGGAGCTTTAGGGGCTTCAACCAGGAAGTCGGCACAGAGAAAGGCCCCAAACAGGCAGAGAAACGACGTGTCTGCTTCCTGACTGTTACAGAGGGAAGGAAGGCTCTGCTCTGGGACTTTCCATCAGGGCTTTCAGAGCAGATCTTTGGGTTCCTGCTCTGTTCTGAGCCCTGCTTTCCTCAGCTTGTTGCTTTATGCTGTTGACTTCTCCAGTCCGGCTCAAACCGACCTGAGTGTGTTTCCTCTCCAGTTGTGACCTCACTGCTGAGCGGCTCCACACACCAAGGTTGGTCCCCTTTTCCCAGCATGAGGAGCTTTAGCTGGACAGATGTTATCCAGCAGCACCAGGGCTGGAACTGACTCCTGTTTCCTCCCTCTCAGCGGCTCTGACTGTGAGTCCCAGCAGCTCTCAGTTCTTCAGAGGAGCCTCCGTGTCTCTGAGCTGTGAGGAGGACGGCAGCTCTGCTGGATGGACTGTGAGGAGGAACACCAGCAGAGGAACCAGGACCCAGTGTGGAGCAGACTGGGGGAGACTGACCGGTTCTGCCTGTGGGATGAGTGCTCTACACCCATCAGACAGTGGAGCTTACTGGTGTGAGTCGGGCGGGGGGGCGGCCGGTCCCAGCGCCCCCCTCACTGTCTCTGGTAAGATCAGACTGTGGAGTTAGTGCTGA